TTTCATCATCAACCATAACATATACATTTAAAATCTATGCAACTAATGTCCTTCAAAACTAGAAACGTGACGTAACTTTTCCTGAAATTATAACAACCTTTGTGTAGTAACAAAATGATGTTCCTAAAATTTTAAGCTTGTTTCACGGGGGTGGTCTACTGTGAATTCCATAGAGCGTGAGGCCATAGGCATCTAAAGCAGCACCAGTATTTACAGCTGTTAGGGCCACACCTTAGATTTAGAAGAGGACAAACAGTACAATTGGCACCCCGGAGCGCGTGATGGCCGATGTCAGTGCAGAAGGCAGGGGTTCTGCTGGACGACTGATAGATGAGATGTGCTGGTGGTCCTCCATGGAACGACGCTTCCAGTCGCTGCTTCCATACGGCAACGTGGCTCTAAAAACGTCACAAGTGGCGTGACTTTTTGGTGATGATAACCCATGGCTCTTTCTGACTTTATCGAGGTTCTAAAAACGTCAGAAGTGACGCTCAGCGTTGCGTTACATCCTGGAATGGGTAACTCGTGCTTCTAGTCGAGAATGCAGCTCCGAAAACGAATGTTCACGTAAGTTGCAATGGGTTTTAAATCATACGTCGGAACAGAGACGTTATATGAAAAACGCCATAGTAAATAACTTCCTGGAGGCGGTCACCCCAGGCTTCCAGCCGGCAATTTGGTTCTAGAGAGACTTCTGAAGTGACGTTCAGCGTGACGTTAATTTCTAAATAAGAGACTGGACGCACGAGTTAATAAACAAAATCGTACGTCGTAACGCAATTGCTTGCAGTTATAATGGATCACCGACTGGCCGTGACAGAAAAAATATTAATTGACCATCATTAACTAATCTTGATCTCTACAGTAAAATATGTTGAATTCCAAACCTAATATATGAATAACCATCGAATTGAAATCATCAAATCCCAGAATAACAATTGCATTTGCAAGCATCTGCAGCGCATTTGAAAAATATACCATAAATGCACTTCATAAGGTTCATCGTAAATTCACTTCATAAGGTTATCAATAATTAGATGAAGCCGCATATACTTTCTTTCTATTCATGCTTGTAAAGCACGACATACCACGTACTACCACCAAGTATTCAAATTTAATCAAGAAACATTTGTAGTAATTTTCATACTTCTATTTGATTGTCAAACATGATGTTTCAAAGAGATCAAAGTCAATGTTTCTTGAAATTTTAGATTCCATGAAGTTCACTAGTATAACAGAATTGATTCCAATTCAAACAGTAACAGAATCCTCTGCATCAATCCTTCGCCTGAAAATCAAAATATTTTGAGATATACCAAATTTAAGTGTCAAAAACAACAACCAAAGGAGATTGACCGCAAAAGTTCACAGTAAGATTCTTCCCCAGAGATTCAAAAGAATATATATTGACAGATCTTTTCGATTGCGGAGCAGGGAAGGATCGGTCGTTACTAAATTGCGGGCGAAAGCTTCGACGGAATACAAGCGTTCAAGAGCGAATCCACGGTATTTACTACAGGTCCCTGGAATGCGTGTAATGCCCTACACAGCCGAACGTCTTGTTTGTTCAACCTAATTGTGTCCAAGCTAGTCGATTAATTTTCTCGGTAGCCATGAGCACGGTTACTGCCGAGCTTCTCAGTACCCTAAATAGATCCATTAAAATTTCTCGGCCCTGGAACGTGCACAAGGATTTTCCAAACATCTCGCCGATGCCTGGAAAATCTTTCGTGTTCACATTAGAGTTGTTTGAAGAGTACTGCTATGGTAATAGAACTTATATAGCCCTGAATAATGTTACTTTGTGCACCTTTATACCCTGTATTCTGTTGTTATTCGTGAGCTTCAGATGTCTTGCTTTAATTATAGAGTCTCGCTTTCCAGTTCAGACTTGATTTCATATAATAGAGGCTTGTCCGTTTTATGAATATGATTTTGAAATAACAAAAAGGCTTTGCTACTCTGCTCATTTATTTGATAGTACAAATAAATAGCTTCGCAACGAGGATTAAATTTACCAAAATGGTAATTCAATATCATATTGTAGCCGTAAAAACAGTAAAAGCACAAAATGGATAATCAAATTATATGTATAAATAGGCTGGTAACTGTTTTCTCGACGTTTCAACTTACTTGATTTCTTTCGCAACAATTCAGTCAAATGAAGATAAAATTACTGTTTTAGAGCTTTCGATTTTGAAATAAAAACTTCTGAATAGAAGCACCAGCTGGTTTCGAACTGAAACGATTATTTCGACCAAATACTCGTTGAATTGAATTTATTTTCATATAATTCAGCTTCTATCTGTAGTATTGAATGCTTGCTCTTGTATTTCAGCTTCTTATTTGTAGAATTGAACGCTTGCTTTTTATTAAAACGTTTTTCTTAGCTTAGCTTCGCGTTTGTTTGTTTGTTTGTTTGTTTGTTGTTAAAATTGACAACGAAAATTAGCCCACTTCCGATTGCTCTAGAGATCTGAAATTCGGCATGCAGGCTATTTTTGCCTAACAATTCCAGATACAATCATAAAAACTTGCAATTAGAGACCTAAATTAGCTTAATCGAGTAAAGTATATATATATATAGTATATATATAGTATGACGTGCGGGCGCTGACGTTATAGACGAGCAGGCGCTGACGCTGCGTATCATCGATACGTACATCAAGTCATGCTTTTTAGTCTGTGCAGCAACGGACTAAAAAGGAGAAAATAAAATACTTAAAAATACTTTTTTAAAAACACGTTTTTCTTGTGGACTAAAAAGTAGAAAATAAAATACTTAAAAAAAAAACTTTTTAAAAAACACGTTTTTCTTGTGGACTAAAAAGTAGAAAATAAATTATGGCTTGCCCCAAAAATGTGGGTCGGGCTGTACGATCACCATCAAATTTCCAAAATTCGTGTGTTGTGTGCTTTTCGCTTTAATCATAAATCTGCCCTGTAGAATTGAACGCTTGCTCTTATATTTCAGCTTCTCATTTGTAGAATTGAACGCTTGCTTTTACATTTCAGCTTCTGCATGGTCTGTAGTATTGAACGGTTGCTCGTGTAATTCAATTTCTTAATTCTTGCATTGAACGCTTTATCTTGTAATGCTCTCACGATTTGTTGTATTGAACGCTTGCTCTTATTTATATGCAGGTTTTATTTGTTTTATGGAACTCTTGCTCTGATTACTCAACTCCTTACCTTAGTTAAGCTGATATAATAAAATTCTCCCTCTTACTCAAACTCGAACGCTACGTGGTGGCGCGAGGAAGTGGAGTGAAGCTGGCGACGTATAACGCAGCCAGCGTCACTCCTACCGCCGAACCCTGAATTATTGAAGAATAAATAGCCACGGTGAATAGGTACGATGAATGTGCGACTCTCAGTAATAAAGGACATAATGGGCTCTCTTTGATGAGTCTGACACCACTGATACCCATCTATTGAATAGGGTGAGACGTGAGTCAATAGGGGGCTGCTATTCTGTCAACCGCAAAAAGTGATCGCTGGTATAGGGTAGACGATTCAAAAGAGGACTCTCTAGTCAGCCAACATTTAAAGTGCACTAACTAGCACTCTCTGCCTGCCTTCCTTGCTAAATCACCGCACCAATAATGACATTCTCTACAGCACTTATCCTACTTCTCCAAATCGCCAGCCATAGATCAAGCGCAGAAGGCGTGCAGCGACACCCTCTAACACGGTTTCAAAGGGCGAGTGCTTGTGCGGTCTTTCCAAAAGTCATTCTACCAAGATGGATTACGCATGGATTGGCCAACAGCATCATTTGATTACCCCCTAACTTTGCAAGTTATCATATTTCTTCCGGCGACTATGATTTACGCTGATATGATCGTGATCTTTTCACAGCATTAACGTTCCATTAAAACTCCTTACAGGAACCTAAGCCTTAATTCATGGTCACTCAAATATATATGAGCTGCTTACTTAGGGGTCGATCGGGTGTAAATAATTACGTCGTTAGACAAGCTCCAGGAGCCTCTGAATAATAGGTTAATACTGTTTGCAGATGCATTGCTTGTTCAAGTTTCGCTGCACTTCGTGTATCAGATAATCTTAGGTAAAAAATCAACACCAGGCCGAGCGTTGCACGACCGCGTTCAAAATGTATTTTTTTAAATGAAAGTTTCAAGCAAATTAAATAGTCACAAAACATCAAGTCATCCTCCACGAGCATAGCTACAAGCTACCGAGATAAAACTTCTTTCAGTATATAATCATCCGAATACAGATGTATCTGGTATAGTCTTATAGAATAGCTTCAACGCCATCAAAAGCCTCTAACCAAAATAACTAAGATATATTTTATATTTTATAAAACCGACTCGTAATATTGGCCTTGCACAATAGCCTTGTACTTGATTTGAATAACCACGCGTTCTCTGAGTGTTCCTGCCGTGATTGACAGTCTCTGTGAAGGATGACAATGAAGTTGACGCTCCTGCATCAGATCAGAGGTCTCCTCAACAACATGATCGTGACCGATTGCTTCTCAAGCAGGATTAGGTTGAGGACAAAATTAAAATCTGTTTATAAAAAGTTATATTTAGATGCCAGATCGCGCCTCTGGTAATTCCTTCGGCGTAACAGTGCTGAAGTCTGATAATTTTTTGATTACCCAACTATATTACGATTATAATTTTCCTCTACCTATTAAATTGAGCCAGATTTTCTATATTATTCGTTGCTACTAAGAACATTTCAATAAAAATGTTCTAAATAGGTATTATTTATATATGTATATATTATTTATTACTTAGTACATTATTCTTATTTTTATAATTTAGAGATTCAATTAACGTGTTCTCGTTAAAAAGAAGAATATAGTACTTTTCAAGATATTGACGAGTCATACTTTCATAACCTAATGTTTCATTCTGACGAATAACGGTCAATTCTTAACCATCACCAAAATTATAGAGAAGTTTGTACTGATTCCATTTATCTTAGATCTGCCAAAATTCATAAACTCGTGTTGCTTTTTCCAGGAAAACTGCCAGAAACGAGCATCAAATCGGAGGACGAGCTCGATCCTCACAATCTAGACCACGCTGAAGACATCGACGTCGACGCCGTGTCCGAGCGAGAAGACAACGAATCCTCCAAAGAAGACGCATCCAGTTTGATCGGAACGCCCCGAAGAAATTCCCACAACTCGCACATTAATAAACATAGTAACCACAGCAGCAGTCAGAATGGACTTAGTAACAAGAGTCCTCGACATCACCAGAACCAGAGTCCGTCGTCGCCTGAGCCTATGGGAGTCGGCAAAGAAGACGACGAAGATAATCACTCACCGAACGGTGGCGCCGGAGGACGACCCATCAAACCGACTAAATTGGAACTGCGGGTACGAGGAAATTGTCAAGACTTGGAGTCCATTCCTTGTCACTTGGAAACCAAAGAACTCTGGGAAAAATTCTACGAATTGGGAACCGAAATGATCATCACCAAAACGGGCAGGTGAGTACCCGATAGGATTAGTTTCAATATGACTACTGAAGTACCTAATCAACAAATCGTGTTAAGTTTAGTTTATAGATAGTTTAATTTAACAGTTAATAAAAAGTATTAATGTCACTTATTTGCTTAAATCGCAAGTTGACTAAAAATTTAAAAGCAAAGAATAGTCCACAAAAATTCATATCTTTATAGAAAACGTTTCGGAGTCCAGCTCCATCGTCAGTTCGTAGAATCTAGAACATACATAGAAGGTCACAAGTTAATACAATTGAAAGCACAGAACACAATTAGAACCTAAATTTACAAGTAATAGGGCATAAAAACCTATCTATTCACAATTTCAAGGGGATAGGAGCTCACAGCTGAATTTAAACTGGGCCTANATCTAACATAACAAAGTCTGATTTATAGTCTGACATATTTACAGTCACATGAATTCAAGATTTGAATTATATAAACTCTCCATGCTTCAAACATCGAATGTAAATTTATGTAAATTTTTCAAATATAGCTTTCGTAACACACGATCTTCCCTTACTTTTCGTTTAAATCCCATTCCAGTTCGGCTAGTATTGCAATCCCAATAGTTTACCACAGAGACTGGCAAGTCCTTCATTGAAGGCTGTCGTATTTTGGATGAAGCAGTGGCGTTTGAGTTATCTATTGGAGAGAACAGGAGTAGCCAGCCACCCTTCGGTGGTAATTCACTCAATCTGTTGTTCGGGTGAGTGTGATAGCTGTCTCTTATACACATCTAGATGTGTATAAGAGACAGGTTCTAGATTCTACGAACTGACGATGGAGCTGGACTCCGAAACGTTTTCTATAAAGATATGAATTTTTGTGGACTATTCTTTGCTTTTAAATTTTTAGTTAATAAAAACTTTCGTACATATTTGGTAGAGGTTACCATCGTAAAATTAACTTGGAATTTATTTTCAATTTCTCAAAGTTCGAATTCGTATTAAAGACTTCATTTTTTAGCAAAATAGGTCTTCCTATGTTGCTGGATTTTTTACAGAAAAATCATTAAAAAATCTTGGTCATTACTATTAAAAGAACAACTCTACTTTCGATATTTCACGCGACACCAAATCTTTATATTCAAATCAGATAACGTGTGAAGCAAGGACCCGCATGCAGGCGTAAATGCTAGGATTGTGGTGTATGTCATTTATATCCTGGCTCCCTGCACGGCAGGAGAGCCAGCCCACTCTACCGAGCCAGAGTCGGCCGCTCTATTGGATTACGCTGAGTATTCAATTGGTCTAGAATACGGGAAGCTTCGTCAAGATAGATCGAGCTGCAATGGGAACCATAGATACGATTCCTCGCAGTTCTTCGATCCATTGAAGTCTTTCTTTGTTTCCATGGCGTTATTCGTGCGGTATTTACATCGCTTTTCCAGCAAGTGTTAGCGATAATTGTAGGGAGACTGGGACATGCACTTGTGAAGGATTCGTTTGAATAATTGCGGCAGCGCACATAAATTCATGGAAGAGTACTTATTTTTGGAACGGTAATAGCAATCTAGTGATGCTGTCATAGATTTATTTACGCACGTAATTGCATGCTTTGAGATGAATACCTTATAGTTTATATCAACAGAATATAATGAGAAATATCATTTCACCCACTCAGAAATTTTCACCGTTCTTAATAAATTTGAAAATACAAATCAGCAAAATAACTTAAATTTTAGACTAGCATATAATTATTTTTATGTAAAATGTCGAGCACGAATTGGTCCTGAATGCGTGTAGTCATCAGAATGAAATAAAAGAAATTTCGGACTGGCATGCATGCTGGGTCCGCCGCTATACATACAACAGTTTTTTCTGCACATTGCGCCAGCTGCCAAAGCTTGACCGTCTCTGCAAAAGTTCGTTTCTCGGGTGCAGATTTACGCAGCGAATCTCCAATTGAATTGCTCCAGATTGATTTTTGTCTCAACGCTGCCGACCGATTGGAGTTCTGTCCCGGAAAAAAACTCTCACAATATTTTTCGGTCATTTTGGAACCGATACGCTTGCTGGGACTGAAACATTTTAAATCGACTACTGCAGCGTTTTGAAATTCAAACGATGTATTGACTTAACATGGATTTTGCAGTAGGATTTTTTCAAGTTTGAAAAGAAATCACGATGGTCCTGAAATTTATAGTGCAACGAGTTCTGGTTGAGAACTTTTGAGAACCTTCATGCTTTAGAATAAATTTTAACATCCCATGGTAATAAATTAAAAGTACCGTGTTTCAAAAAGTAGAGATCTTGCAAATTTTATTGGGAAATTTTGAGATTAACGCAAAATTTTCAACTTTAATCAAGACTAACGCAAATTTTTCAATTTCTTGTTCATCAAGACGCTCTGATTAGAGAACGTGTACAAATAAAAAAATATCAACATATAAAGAATATTATGTCCAGGCTTCTTTGTTCTCCATGTAACTACAGTAAAACTACGCAGCGTTTTGATTCTGCAATTAAATGTCTTGCGCATCCACTCTGCGTAGCCCTCAGAAATACTGCAGCCAGTAACATTTATTTTCGTTTAAATAATAAAACTCGATTTAATTTTACAATTCATCACTCCGCTGTCATAATGAATAACGTTTCACGAAAACTAAAATTACTCTAGCAGGACAAGGGTCGGATATTAAATGTATGAGTTACCTTATATTAAATGATTCTCGCAGTCATCGTTCACTGACCTCACGCTAATATTTACTTTCGCGACGACGTTTCCGGTGGAAATATAACGATTATTTTCATTCCAGTCCTTATTATTGTATCCATTGAACGTTTGAAACACAAAATTATCCCATAGATCTCCGATATAATGGCAACCGTATTGGCAACTTCCGTGAACTATACATTACGCAAGTGTCCAGACTCATTCATCATAGAGCACTCTGGTTTATGGAGTTAGTTTTCTTCTGATCAGTTCACAGTTTTCGTGTTCAACTCATAATACACAGCTTACACCACTCATTCATACAGCTGGTTAATTGCGGAGCACTTGCAATTTATCCAGGTTATTCCATTCAAATATATACCAAATGACAAATATACCGGAGAGCAATTTATTATATACTAAATGGCAAATATCAAATATATACCAAATAAATTGTCGCTTTATTTGATTCTTTGATTCTTTGTACTGTCGTGTTACAGGAAACGATTTTGCAGAAATGCGCAAAATAGTCAAAGTAGCTATGTCAAAAAATTAGTGATTCAACGTATACATATAATGAGCCTCGAAAATATCACAGGAAATTAACAAATAACGTGAGAATAAAGCATGAGATAAGATATGAGTACAAGGTTAGTTCCAATGCACTTGCTAACTGAAATTTCAGAAAAGTTCCAAGCAGAACTGATTTATTTCTTGAATTTAATGCAAATTTGTCGTCTACGCAATTTAAATTTCCACTGATTTTAATTTAATTATTAATTTAATTTGCTCTCCATGAATTGTCTTTGCAACAGACGATAACATTTAAAATCTAACGTTTCTATGAAACTTGCAAACTCAAGTTTAAATATACTGAGAAGTGCCTTATAGAATTTTTGCTGCTTTCGACTCTGATCACGTACAGTTGATATTACATGAACCTCAGCTTCTGTTTCTTCAGGAGCATCATGTAGAATGATGTATATATCATCATGTACGATGATATATACGCTCCACAATATGATGAGGTTGGTAATATCCTCCATCATATGCTGAGGGTGGTGATGTTCTTTATCATATGATGAGATTGACGACACACTCTATCATATGATGACAGTGGTGATACACTCTATCATATGATGATGTTAGTGATACATGTTAGTGATATCATATGATGATGTTAGTGATAGAGTGTGTTATCACATGATAATGGAGGTGATATCCTCTATCATATGTTCTATTCTCGGTCACAGCTGTGGACATGTGGCCACGCGTGATTCATTGAAATAATGGGCGAATTATAGACGGCCACTAACTATTAGATGATCGGCCAGCAATAGACCGCACCACAGTGCATTGGTTTCACTTTACTGGAACAGGTGTTGCGCTGAAGCCAGCAATCAGCGTTCGTTTGTTCTCGCGTTCACGCTTCACCGGTGCCCTGCTGGTCCAATTTTGGGGAGAGCAGGCGTCAATAATGCTAATCTTACGGCCGTTACATCGCTTCAAAATTACTAATTCAATTAAGGCCGCCGAAATATGGCACGATGGGGAAAACCTCTCAGCGAATCACGTTTACGCACCAAGCAGAAAACTCGTTGTCTTGCCATTCAGAAAATAACATAACGCGAGATAACTGTAATCCATTTAAGGAAGTTCATGCCATGTATTATTTCAAGTCCAAATATAATTTACGGGTCCATTTGGATTTAACCACCTAATTTAGCCTATGATTTTCTATTTTATTTTTAATTGTCTACAGGGAATTTGTTCTCGATTGCTTCGATTGGCTACCCGTCATAATATGTCACTTGAATTCATCAAAAAATTACCCTAGTCGAGTTAAATAGTTCTTTTTAATCTTTTTTGTAAAGATTATAATAATTCTTCACAATTCTTATTGTAACAAATTTCGAAGTGAAACATTTAGTTAAAAGAAATTAACTTAACCAAGACGCACAGATCAATGCTTACAATACTTAATTTTCTTCATCATTCTGTACGTAAATTTCAAGGCGATTATTTAAAAATTGTTAAAATATCATTGTAAAATCTTTTAAGAAATCAGTCGATATCAACGCCTTTCTCTCCTTCCAATCAGGGCCTAAAATTTCGAATTGTATGCGGCGATTTGCGAAACTGAGTTTTGTGAAGCTATTTTTTTAATATAAATGTCGAAATTTCAGGGTGCACCCATGAAATTGTAATCAATTTAAATGATTGTGCCTGTTTTAAACAAAAATATGATCATTCGAAATTTATGTAAAACATCCGTGAGAAAAATGCTAATGCTAATGCTGAAGTCTTGACACAACAATTACATTCGC